AATAAAAAAAAAATAAAAACTAAAAACAAAACAAAACAAAACAAAAAAAAACACAACTCCAGCCAAACCGGTTTGGCTCAGTGGATAGAGCATCAGCCTGCAGACTGAAAGGTCCCAGGTTTGATTCTAGTCAAGGGCATGTACCTTGGTTGCGGGCACATCCCCAGTAGGGGGAGGTGCAGGAGGCAGCTGATCGATGATTCTCTCTCATTGATGTTTCTAGCTCTCTATCCCTCTCTCTAAAAAATCAATAAAATATATATATTTTTAAAAACCAATTCTGTGAGCCTTGGTTTTCATTCATATCTGTAAGATGGAAATATTAATGGTAGTATTACCTCGAACGGCTTATGAGAATGAAATGATTATTTATGTCTCATGTCAACACGTGCTGTGAAAAAGCCTGCGATGCTCACCCATGTTTGCAATTTTCTCTTCTCCCTGGGCACCCTGGTTACACTACATTTCCCAGCATCCCCGTAGTTAGGTGTGACCGTAGCCTGAGGGTAGGCCATGGAATTGCAAGAGAAGTGATCTATCTGGTCTCTTATATCCTTTCATATTCACTCCCTCCATGTCCCAGCAACCTCTGTTGTGAGGGAGAAATAGTTTTGTTTGTCAGAGCCGTTAACTACCCTGATATGCACTGGTACCTGCTAAACTCTCAGTTGAAGTTAACTGCTCTCTGGTCTAACCTCTCTGCACCACTGAGCCACACCGGCCAGGCAAGATGTTTCTAATTTAAAAAATCAGTCCGTTTGTTTTTATTTTTTAAATTAGAAATAATTTTGAAATACACACAAAAAAAGACAAAACACATATTCCCACAACTCAGTGTGATCAAATCTTAACATTTTGCTGTATTTGATTTGTGTTTTTTCCTAAAGAAATAAAGCATTGTGGGTGAAACTGAAAAGAAAAGAAATATTGCAGCTAAAGCACTTAGCATAATGCCTGGCATATGCAAAGCAGTCAGAAATAGTCAGTAATGCCTTTTAAAGTGTTATTTTTGAAATATGTTTACAGTTACAGAGAGTTTTAAAATCAGTGGGGACATTTCTTGTATACCCATCACCCAGCTCTCTCTAATGTTAACTTCTTGCTTAATCGTAGTATAGTTATCAAAGAAATTAAAATTGGTGTAATGCTGTTGGCTAACCCACAGATTTATTTCAGATTTCACCAGTTTTTCTACTTATGTCTTTTTTTCTGTTCCAGAATCCAATCCAGAACACCATGCTGCATTTAGGTCAGCTAATTTTTAATCATCCATTCATTCCACTGCCAACGATTAGTCCAAGGCTGGTGTGCTGCGTAGCAGACAATGCCAAGAGCCCCTGGACTATGTACCATGGCAATAATCACAGCTCTCATTTTTGCCACATGTTGTACAAAGAACTTTCCATCTTCCCCACTTAATTCTTACAACAATCCTATATGTTGGTTATTATTACTCCCATTTTGCAGATGGGGAAACAGAGGTGTGTGGAGAGATTAACTGAAGTCACACACCTGGCAGAGGGCAGAGGTAGGATTTGAATCCAGGTAATTTGTCCCAAGTCATGTTCCTGACAATACCCCATGCCTTTCATGGGGCTACTCTAGAAGAGAGGGAAAGTTGACACCTCAGCACAGACTTTCTGGAGCAAGTGCAGCAGGCAGGAAGGCTTCCTGGCGGAGACACCCGTCAGGAGTTCGACCTCTTGTTTCCGTTTGGCTTTCTCACCACCTGCTTTCTCAGGGCTTCCCTCCCTCTTTCCCCTGAAGCCCTAGACTAAGCCTAACCCTCAGAGCCCCAAGAAGGTGACCTGGAGACACTCAAGCCCCAGGGTGTGGCTCTGCCTCAGCCTCTGGGCATCTCACCCCGGCCGGCCGGCAGAGGCAGGTGGCCCGCGCTCATAGCCCCGGATGTTAATTTAGAGCCGCTATTTTGGTTCCCGCTGACAGTGCATGAGCAAGAAATAGCAACAAGGGCTGAGCTGTCAGGCACCAGGGGGATCAAAGAGAATTGGGGTGGGCAGATTGGGCTGCCAAGCGGGGACTAGCTTTGTCTGCTCTGCATAATTATGGGCCTCAACAACCTGAGGACGGACTGAGATTTATTTTCAATCCCTAGGTTGGAGAGAAACTCTGCCTGGTCAGGCACAGCGGCGGCAGCCCTTCTGCCATCTTCCAGCTTTGGAAAAGGCCCAGAGAGCACCGACAGCCAGCTGGGACTAGGGTCACCAATTTCTGCAGGTAGGAGAGCAGAGGAGCTGGCTGGGCAGTACCTGCTCTTTGAGGCCAGAGCCCAGAGGGTCTAGATCCAGGACGCAGTATTTCAGTCTCATTTCATCTTCTTCTCCGAGCCTCCGTTTGTTCATCTGTAAAATGGGGATATGAATCTCTACATCCCAGATCAGGCAGCTGTGTTTGTACAGCTTATAAATTGCAGAAGGAATGAACGGGGAGCTGAAACACAGCCTGCGCCCAGTCCCTCGGTTGAGCACGCGGACTTGTAGCTGTCTGCTTAGGAGAGAGATCTTTTCCTTGACCAAGCCCAGGAGTGCTTCAGCCTGGTCTGGGCTCAGGGGCCACCTGATTTGTACAAAGAAAAAGCACTTGCTTCTGGAAAGAGACCAGATGGCAGAGAAGGGGAAAGCCCCGTAAGCCTCCGGAGAGCCTTGGTAAGGAGGAGGGAGGGGAGTCAGAGGGGACAAGGAGAACTGGGAAGACAGTGTCAGGGTAACCAAGAGGTGAGATACACAGGTGGAGCTTGGAGGAGAGCAGGTACCCTCTGGAGGAAGGCCCAGTACAGAGCTGTTGGGATCGGCTCCGCCTGGTGGCTCTTCAGAGAATGCTGAGTGGCAGTGGCGCCATCCTGTGGCTGCCAGTCCACGGAAACACAGCTGCACCTAAGGCAGGGCCACAGCCAGAGACGGGGAGCCCTGGGAAGGGGCCCGCAGCCCAGGGAAAGCCCGGCCTGAGACTGCAGTTGGAGGAGGAGGATAAAGCCCAGGCCATTATAATCCGGAGCGATAGGAGGTGTCCTAAGAGGTGGCAGGACACTGTGGTAGCCTGCGAGCAGCACTTCTCTCAGGCCGGGGGTCTAGGAGAGCTTCCCAGGAGAGATGTCTAAGCTGAAGCCGCGAGGAGACCGCAGTGGAGAGTGGGGAGAGTGGTGCCTTCAGGGATGCAGCTGGGAGCGGGTGCACGTTAGCAGAGGTCCGAGAGTGTGGTGCATTCTGGGAACTGCAAGTAGGTTTACTGTTTCTTAATGATGTGGTATGTATGGGAACAGAATTGCAAGAGATATGGTTGGAGGTCTGAGAACTTCTCAGATAAGGAAGCATCTTTATACTTCGTCAAGGTCTTTGTACTTCAGGGTCTGTGAGCAGAGGAGTGACGTGGTCAGGTTTTTATGTTGGTCAGATGTTGGCATGCCACGGGGGGGCCCAGGCTGGAGGCAGAGGCTGTTATAAGAATCCAGGGGAGAGATGAGCTTGGCTTGAACTAGAGTAGTCACAGCAAACAGGAAGTGAAGTGAGCAGATCCAAGTTGTATCTGGGAGGAGGCATCGATAGGCTGATTGGATGAGAGGCAGGAGTCCAGGTGACACCCATCACTGACTTGAGTAACAGTGGCTGTCAGACTAAGAGGAGAAGTGGTCCGGGTGGGGAGGTGATGGAAAGTTCAGCTGCATTTGAAGTTCAAGGGTAGTATTCACATGGAGGTGGCCGGTGGGATACAGAGGCTCGAGCTCAGAAGAGAGAACTGGGTCGGCCACTGGGATCTGGGAGTCATCGGTCCAGAGATGTGAACTGAGGCTGTGGGAGCAAGAGGACCGTCCCCCCTGCCCAGGGGGGCAAGGACACTGAGGGGGGAGAAGAGGCCGAGGACAGAACCCTAAGAAATGGTGGCCTTCAGGAGTCAGCTGGAGAAGGCGAGGGCTAAACAGGGGCAACCAGGGAGGGAGAAGGAAACGCAGACCAATTATAACCCTCATAACACCTTGTTCCACGTACAGGTGCGTTCCACGTACAGGTGCGGACACTGCAGGCTTCAATGTGGTTTTCTTAGGGCATAAGTACAGAGAACTCAGAGCTAAATGTCCTGCTCTGTCATATAACCACCCTCACCTAGGAGTCCTGGGTACCTCCTCCTCAGCCCATCCTCCTGTTTAACCCTCCGTTTTCTAGGTGGTGTGAGTTTGAGAGTAGACTGTAAATGAAAAGATGGATGGGATTCAAGAGGTGCTCTTTGCACACAGTGAGTTGTGGAGAGGGTATTTTGTTTGTTTTTATTTTTTATATTTAGAGAGAGAGGAAGAGAGAGAGAGAAACATCGAAGTAAGAGAGACACATTGTTCAGCTGCCCCCACTGGGTTCGATCCTCCTGACTGGGGATTGAACCCAGTGCACAGGACGATGTGCCAACAAACTGAACCACACTGGCCAGGGCCTCATAGTAAAGACAGTGATGCATCGAACTTTGGTCTTTACTCAGGCGATCCAGCTCTTGGTGATGGCAGGAGGAGGACAAGATGAAGGTCAGCTAATTCTCCGCGCTGGTACTCCACTCCTTCCTCTTGCTCCCAAGGCCGGTATCACTAATGGATCCTCCCCTGCCCTCCTTCTCCAGGAAGCCTTGACAGGGTCTCAGACCCCGCCTACAGGCCGCCATCACACTGCCTCCGAGCCGCCGAGCCTTCTGGGATATCGTGGCCACCCCTTCTCCCTTCTCCCCCCACACAAACCACCAGAATGTCTCTTGATTATGATGAACCTTTATTATAGAGACAGACTGAACTCTTTTGCATAAAGAATCTCTGGATTGGGTCAGGGAAATCCACCTGCTACAAGGGGAACCAACCAGCTCTCCCTGCCTCTGCCTCAGCGAAGCCCCACGTGCTAAGTTCATCTCAAGGTCCCAGGAAACAGCAGAGGCTGCTGTCCCCAGGGCCAGGCTGGTGGGTGGGGCCACGCTAACCAGAGGGCCAGGGCTCCTGGCTGTCCACCGGGTCAGTGTCGCCCGGTCTCCCGCCCCAGTCGGTTGTCCAGCACCTGGAGCTGCCGGAGGAAGCCCGAGTTGGGGCAGATGTCGCGGTGGGTCTGCACCGTCTGGATGGCCTTCACCAGCGTCATGTTCTCGTAGATCATGAGGAAGGCCAGGACGACAGTGGCCGAGCGGCTCACCCCCATGGCGCAGTGGACCAGCACGCGGCCTGCAGGGAGACCCGGCCTCGCGTCAGTTACCTGGCCAGCCCGCAGCCCACCTGCCACAGTACCCGAGAATGCTGACACTGTGCCCGGTGTCAGCTGGGCCGAAGGAGGCCCAGAGAGGGAAAGCAACTGGCTCAAGGTCACACAGGAAGTTAGCGGAGGAGCAAGGTTAGCGGCTGGGATTCCCTTCTCCTAGTTCCTCCTGTGGCATCCTTGAACCCTGGTGAGTCGGTGGGGAGTGGGAGAGGAGGGGATTGTTGGAGTCCTCTGGGTTTGTGTCTCTCTTTCCCCCCAGTTCTGCCCTCTCCCCTGTCCCTGCAGCCCGATGCCAAGGCTTCGCTGTAGAAGAGCCTGCTCAAAGCCTTTGCTAGGTCCCGGGCCTGCTACCCACAGCTGCTCTCGCACGGAGGGAGAGGGTTATACTGATGACCACACCGGTCCTTCGTTCTGTCTGTGATTGATGGTTGCCAGGGAGTCTCTGAAAGGTATGCTCACTAAATGGTAGTAGCACCCTAACCGGTTTGGCTCAGTGGATAGAGTGTCGACCTGCGGACTGAAGGGTCCTGGGTTCAAGTCCAGTCAAGGGCATGTACCTTGGTTGCGGGCATATCTCCAGTAGGGGGTGTGCAGGAGGCAGCTGGTTGATGTTTCTCTCTCATCGATGTTTCTAACTCTCTCTCCCTCTCCCTTCCTCTCTGTAAAAATAAATAAATATTTGCACCATGGGTGGTGGGTGCTGGAGAGGTCTGTGGCCTAGGACACATTCCCTGTCGGTGCTGCTGGAAAATAGCCCCGGCTCTCACCCACCACGTCTCCTCCCCGCCTCCTCCTTCCCCGGAGCCCACCTTGGGGAACACTGAGGGCAGTTCGGATGTATCGGGCGACAGGCAGGAAGTAGACACTGAGGTCAAAGAAGGGGTTGTCGTCAGCCTCGATGCCATAGTACTCCAAGGGCATTCCGTGATAGAACTTGGCACCTGTGTCCACTTGAAACTTGCCCGCAGCAACATTCACAATATGGGTGATGCCCAGCTGGGCCAGCTTGCTCTTGTCCCGGGCTGCGTACCTGGAGGGAGGGCACAGGGGAGGCTGGGGAGTGGGAGGTGAGGCAGTCTCCCTTGGGGGGGTCAGTTCTGGCTGGGCCGGAACTGTCCCCTTCCCTCCTCTGCCACTGCCATCAAGGGGAGAGGCGGGAGCGGTGAACTGGTCCGGGGTGAAGGGTCTCCTCTAGTTAGAGTTCAAGACTCCCTTCACTCGGGCCAACTTCTCGGGAGAGCATTTTGGCCACAGGCATCGAAAGACTGCCTGGCTGATGTGGCTCAGTGGTTGAGCGTTGACCTATGAACCTGGAGGTCACGGTTCGATTCCTGGTCAGGGCACCTGTCTGGGTTGTAGGCTCGGTCCCCAGTGTGGGGTGTGTAGGAGGCAGCCAGTCAATGGTTCTCTCTCATCATTGACATTTCTCTCTCTCTCTTCCTCGCCCATCTTCTCTGAAATCTATAAAAAATATATATATTTTTTAAATGTTCACATGTTTTTTCCAGCAAGTCTCCTTCTAGGGACTTAATTAAAAAAAGAATCTGGGGGGGAAGCACTAAATATCCTCGAATAGGTGACTGAGTGTGTAAGGTAAATGACATACTATGCTACCACTGAAATAGGGTAGATATGGGTGAACGAGGAAGGGCTTTCATTAACCAATGCCACCCCAATAAATATAATTTAAAAAAAGAAAGTGTTCATGCTGTATTGAAACCTATAGAAAATGCACTATACAAAGCAGAATGTAGTTTAAGAAGGTTTTAAAAATGTGTAGTATGATTCCATTTAAAAAAAAAAAAGCTTTCTGTATAAAGCAGATGACAAAACAGGATTATAAAGTGATACCATTTTCTGTAAAAATAAAAAAGAAATGTGGAAAAACATGTATGTATGTATGTATGTGTGTGTGGGTACGTGTATGTGTGCATTTTTAAAAAGTCAACAAGGATTTTATTACTGGTGATCTGTAGGGAGCATAGCATAGTTGCCATACTGTGAACAATATCCCTATTCTCTAAATATTAAGAAAAAATTCTAAAATCTATCCACATTGATCCATATGTTTAAATTTTAAGAAAAAAAAAAGAGACGGAGTTCTACTCTCCATGTGCCCTATGTGTGTCACTGGAATGTTTCTAGGATCACTGTTCATAATGGCCAACAAGTGGGAACAACTCGAGTGTTTGTATACAATAGAACGGATCAACTCTGTGGTATTTGTACAATCAGATATTTTCACAGCAATAAAAATAACATGGGTGAATCTTACAATTTTGCACAAATAGTGTCACGCACAAAACACACACAAGGTGATCCCATTCACCTACTTTAAAAGATAGACTAAACTAATTGGAGGGTTAGGTATATGTATGGTAAAAGCATAAAGAAAAGCAAGGAAATACTTCAACACTTAGTGGTTGTCCACAGGGGAAGAGATAGAGCTAGAAGGGTTCGGAAGATATTTCTGAGGCACAAGTAATGAGTGTTCTACTTCCAATTTCTATAAAATTTCTATAAAAGGGAAGAAACCTGTGGAAAGGGATGACGGGAGGCAATGGGTACCACCTGTGCCCCTGGAGGGCTCTGGGAGAGACCCCCCTTCTGCTCCCCCTCTCCCACGTGGGTGGGACTTACGCATCTCCCAGGAAGAGGTTGGGCCAGACCTCGTCGATGTGGCTCAGCATGGTGGCCCGGCGGACCCACAGCAGGCGCTGCAGGGAGGACAGTGTGGGCGGCTGGTATGGGGACACAGAGACTGTTCCGTGGATCTTGGGTCTCCGGAGGTCCTGCTTTTGCAGGGAATCCATCCTAGAACAGGGTGGACACCGCGCTGGCCAGAGGCATGCCTCCAGAAGGTGGGTCCTGCTCACCCAGAGGCCCAGTAGCCCTGGGATGGTGCGGGAAGGGCTTCAGCGAGTTGGTGTGAGGTTATTAACCGACCCAGCTGGGCTGAGGCCTAGCCCCAGACCGTTTCCCCAGGAGCAAGGACATCACCTCTTGTTACCCTCTCTCCCACCCTCCCCAGAGGCCCTGGAGGTCAGAAACTTTGGCCCAGGCCCTTGGGGCTCCCTGTTTGTGGTGATGAGTCAGTGCAGATCCAACCCCTTATGTCGCTGGTCACTTGGGGCTTGTAGGGATGGAGGCCTCGGATGGCTGAGGCCCGCCTCGGCCTGGGCAGCTCATCTCAGCCCCTCCTCTGCTACCTCCTGGGCTGACCTCCATGTCAGGAGCTTGGAGCGCAGAGTCCATCCCTGGAGGGAGGGGCCTGGGCTATGCAGGACATCTGTTGCATTTCCATCCTGAATGAGCTAATGCCTCTCAGGGGTAGGTCCCTATTTTACCTGGGAGAGAGCTGAAGGTCAGAGAGAAAATGTTAAGTGCCACCCACAACCACGTGGCCGGTGTGTAGCTGGCTGTGGTTTCAGTCCTGTTCTCTGACCCCGCAGCTCAGTCCCCAAGTCTTCCAGTTTCGACCTTTGGGGACTCCAGAGAGTGGTCACCAGCCCACTCAACTCTGCGGGGAGCTGCTGGTACGCGTGTGCCTGTAAGTCCCGGGACTTTCCTCCTTACCCCGATGGCTCGGGCCAGTGCTGCAGGTCAGGCCTCACCCAGGTGGGGTGAGTTGTCTCAGGAACCAGCTGGCTCTGGGAGTCGGGGCCCCTGCTGAGCTGAGTGGTCAGTGGCACCAGAACGTGAGTCTGGTGTCGTCCCGGGAAGGAGTGCCTCTCTTGGCTAACTGCCCCTGGCCCTCTCAACCAGTAACTAGGGAAGGTACAAACTGGAAAAAACATCTTTTCTCTCTGGCAGGCGGTGCCAGGACCAGAGAGAGAAACGGGCACCCAGGAGGCCACTGGCTTGGCCAAGCTCACCCAGCGGGTGGCCGGCGGGCAGGGCGGAAGTGAAGACCCCGCTTTCCCCCTCATCCCCCACGGTGACCTCTCAGGGCAGGCTGAGCGGCCTGCCACCTACCTAGGGCATGGTCTAGGGCCGGGAGTGGGGGAGTGAGGGCAAGGACAGGGCTAAGCACATGAGCGGAATGGGGCTGGGGCGGTTCCGCCCAGAACACAAATGCTGTGAAGCGGCTAGAATTCCAGGCCTCCTCTTGGAGCCCGGGGGTGGGGTTGGGAGGTGGGGGTGGGGGAAGGGGGACTGAGAGCAGACTTAGGCCCCTGTAGGGGGGAGTGCAGTCCCTCCAAACCCCAGCCTTCTTCTCCATGCTGGGCCTCTCTTTGGGATTAAAGGCTCTTAGGCCTGGAACTGCCCATGGAGAGGGGAAGCTGCTGCCTGAAGTGGGGGGAGGAGAACCTGGGAGACGGAGGGAGGAGAGTCTGGCCTCAAGCAAGTCTTTGCTTCAGTCTTAGCCACATTTCTCTTCCCACGTTAAATGCCCTGGTGCTGCCCTACCGAGGAGTCTGTAGGGGTCTGACCTGAGAAAGAGAGGAGTGGCTGGGTGTGCAGCAACCACAGGGTGGAGAGTGGGTTAGTGTGCTAGGATGGGGTACACCCCCGGGCAGCCAGAATTATCCAAAAGCCACACTGGTCTGAAGCTGCCAGCTGGTGCTTGAGCCCCAGGCAAGGCAGATGGGGCTCAGGCCTCTGAGCTTGGCGTGGGGTAAGGCTGCCCCCCAGTGGCCAGTGGGTGCCTCGCAGCCCAGCTGTGCCTGGGAGTAGGCAGCCAGGCTTTGATGCAGGGAGCTGGATTCTGCTCCTCCAGAGGCTGCTGGGCAGAGAGGAGATAGCAGAGGGATCCAGGATCTGGGGTTCCTCAGCCACAGCCCCCCCCGCCTCAACAACCTAGGGGACCTAGGCACCTTTCCCTTGGTACTTTCCCAAGGTACTTCTTGTCAGACCCCATCTAGCCCCTCCTGATGCTCATGGAGGGATCCCCACCTGTCTACCCCAACCCACTTTGCCAGCGGAGGCAAGCCCAGCCCCTGTGGGAAGTGCCTTCCTTGTATCACCTACAGAGCCCCACGGAGGACACTGGCTTAGAGACCTGCGCACAGGTGCAAGCACCAGGCCTAGGAGCTCCGCCCAGGTCTGCCCTCCTCCAAGGTCTGCACGCTGGGTACCAACCTGCCGGCAGCTCACCGTGGGCAGCCCCTTACCCCGTGACACATTCTTCACCCTCCAGGCACAACCATGGACAGGGAGGGGGTGGCTGCAGCAGCGCCCCCAGTTTCTGCCACCCACAGACCTGGACTGCCCAACACTTCCTACCACAGTTCCTCGGCCCCCTGAGGGTGAGGCACGGCCCAGCTCCATCAGGGACAGGCCAGCGTGGCTGCTCTCCCCATGCACTCGGGCCTCCTTCCTGCATCTCCCCCTAACCCAATGGTCGGCAAACCCATTAGTCCACAGAGCCTAATATCAACAGTACAATTATTGAAATTTCTTTTGAGAGCCACATGTTTTAAACTTAAACTTCTTCTAACGCCACTTCTTCAAAATAGACTCCCCCAGGCCGTGATATTTTGTGGGAGAGCCACACTCAAGGGGTCAAAGAGCCACAGTTTGCTGACCACTGCCCTAAGCTAACCGATGCCTCTGTAGGTACCAGCTCTGCCTGCTCTTGTGTCACTGCTGATTACAAGTTCACACACTTCTGCCTTTGCATCTCTCCTCCTCGCTACGTTGCTTTCCAGCGGCCTCTGTCTCCCACCCTCCCCAGGAGCTGGGCTGCTCCACAGCCTCCCAGCAGCCCTGCCTGGTGGTGGCCTCGGGCCGGGCCAGGCTGTCCCACTCCTCACACAGCCCCAGGAGCTAGCCCCCTGCTCTTCCCTGCTGCTCACTCTCTCTGCCCTCCTCCTCGCAGGCAGACCAGGTGGAATGTGGCCATGGGACAGGTCGGGCGGGACAGGGGGGGTGGGAGATCTCTCTCTGAGGAGTCTGGCGAAGGAAGCCTAAGAGAGGTGTTTGTGGGCTGCCAGCGGGTTGGTACCCAGCCTGCAGACCTTGGAAGAGGGCAGACCTGGGCCGAGTTCCCAGGCCCGGTGCTCGCACCTGTGCGCACGTCTCTGAGCCAGTGTCCCCCACGGGGTAATAAATGGAAGGCACTTCTCACAGGCTGTGCCTCACGGTAGATGTCCAAATACCTGGGACATCTGACTGCTGTTATCACCACTATTATTACTGTTACCTATTCAAGCCTGGGCCATGGCAGAGGACAGTGAGGCGTGGTCTTTATCTCTGTGTTTCCTGGTGTCTCTTTCTCTGTCTGGCCATGGTTATTGTTCTATTCGCCTCTCACTGAGGATGTACTGTGTACCAGCCAGAGCTAAGGGTGTGCATTTTCTCCTTGAATCCGCACAGGACCCGGATGAGGCAGGTGATATCATTATCCCCATGTTACAGGGGAGGAAACTGAGACTCAGAGAGATTCAGCAATAGACCCAAGGTCACACAGCCCATGGCATGGGAGCCGGGATTCAAGCTCAGGTCTTTCTGGCTCTGCTATGCTTTGTCTGTGCCTTTATCTGACCAGTCCATCCCCCAATCTAACCCGGTCCCTCCTACCCCCACCACAATACAGGCAGGCCCAGGTGCCCTGGCCCTCACTCCCCAGCAAGCTCTGTGCGCCCCCCCTCCTTCCCAAAATAGGGGCACTCACCCACCTGTGGGGGGATGTGGCCCAGGCTCTGGTCTTTTCTGACAGGCACGTTGTGCTGCTGACTCCCAGCCGCTTGTCTCCGCGCACTCGCTGCTGTTTCTATTTTAGATTGGAGTTTAATTATAAAGCATGATGTGCTGCTCTCCCTCGCTGGCCTCTCCTGCCACTCCCCACTCCCCCACCGGTCCCATGGCGTGGCCAGTGCCACACCCAGCCAGCACCTGGCCCCGCTCAGCAGAGGCAGCCAGCGGGGTATGCCTACAGCATGACTGGATGTGGATGCTGGCTGTGGGCAGGGAGAAGGAAGATCAAATAAGCCCTTTTAAAAGCTCCCTTGGCCTTCAAGGGGAGGGCGGGGGTGTGTGTGGAACATGGGCAGAAAGTTGAAGCTGGAAGGATCCTCCAAGGAGGAGGATGGGGAAGAGAGCAGCCCAAATCATACACAGACCAGTGGGATCGCCAATTTCAAACCCTGGCCCAGGGCCTTTAGTTGGGGGCTGAGGATTACAATAAGATCTAGAAGACTCGGGCTGAGGGAAGTGGGAAGACAGATAGACAAAGGGGTCAGTGGGGTTCAGAGCAGGTCTTCCAACACCCTGTCCAGCTGTCAGAAGCCCCTCCCTCCGCCGAGTTCCTCTTTCCCCAGAGGCATTCTGACCCAGGCCTCACTTCCGTGTGGCCAGGGAGATGGTCCTTAAGGCCCCTCGAAGGTTAACTGTGATCAGCTTGAGACCTTGGATTTGGGCCTATAAAAACCCTATGAAACCGGTCTGGCTCAGTGGATAGAGCATCGGTCTGCGGACTGAAATGTCCTAGGTTCAATTCCGGTCAAGAGCATGTATCTTGGTTGCAGGCACATCCCCAGTAGGGAGTGTGCAAGAGGCAGCTGGTCGATGATTCCCATCGATGTTTCTGACTCTCTATCCCTCTCTTCCTCTCTGTAAAAAAATCAAATATATTTTTTTTAAAAGAACCCTCCCTGCTCTCCAGAGACCCTCCTCATATACCTAGACCTCAGTGCTCTCTCACTCACTCTCTGGTACCTTTCGCACACACCTGTGCACCCCCACAGCCACACCTACGGGGTCTCTGAAGCTGGGCTCCAGGGAATAAGGCCCAGCCCTGAGCCCAGGGAGAGCTGGTGGAGGCGGCTGTGGACAAGGGCTAGCCTGCACAATTGCAATCTCCTCAGATCTCC